CTAATTTGTGGTGCTTTCACTTCCAGAGACAGTTGTAAGCACTGTGTAACTGCCTCGAAGGTGCTTGACCATGCTAACACACCGTGGTGCGACGATCCCCCTTGCGCGGAGTGAGGGTTCTCGACCCCGCACAACATGATCTACTCGACCACCATTATGGTTGCCGCCAAAAAAAAAAAAGAGGCAAATAAAAAGAAAAACGGTAACCTGGTTGCCGAGTTCACGAAGTGAATTGGCTTGTTTTACAACGTCGTTGCCAAGCGACGAAAACCCAACCCCGATGGCAAACACCGGGGGGGATCTGCTCGTGGTTGGGGACGGTTGATCCAACCCATGGCTGACGCGTGCGTTGATTGCCCGCGAACGATGAAGGGCACGACACTAAATAACGCATTATGTCATTGGTTTCCTCTCGTCAGCAGTACTTACATCCAGCAGGGACACCTGGATGGATGGAGCACCTGATGCAGGGCCTTTTTGCCAGAATTGATCTATGTACCTCAACAAAAGAGCGCATGAATGACAACATGGAAGATACGACACCATGATAAAGGACACCATGACGCCACCATGTCTTGGGACCACACCTGCACGTACTGCTCGAACACGTCCATCCCGATCTGCCAACCCGATGCACTCCGCACGTCCTTTGTCACCAGCCCCCTCGTCACGCCCCCCTTCATGTGATGCACGCCTAGCAGGACCACCCTCTGGTCAACCTGTAAAATCAGCGGGGACCCCAGGTTGTTGATCCACGGTGCCCCACCAAGGACGACAACAACGTCAGTGACATGGGACCCCGGCACACCGACCCTTCGGCAACGCGAACAAGTAGACTCCGGCCCCAACACGGGCATTTCACAGTCGGCACAAGCTGAAGGCCAAAACGCCTCTCTCTCACCATTTTGAGAGCACGCAGGGCTTTGCTATCCCCGCCGAGCAGGTCGATGAGCTCGGGCACGACCATCTCCAGATCCGTCGTACCCGTCACCCTGGCTGCTATTGAAGCCAGCCCCCTCTCCACCTCCGCCATCTTCTCAGGCTCCAGCTCATGGACCAGCGTCGACGTGAGGCGGGTAATTAACGCCCAAGTCTCCTCCGGGCCCTGCGCTTGTGTAGGGGCGGGCGGGAGAACATCCCTGCCACGACAGACAAGACGAAACGAATGCACGGAATGTCAAGTATACCGGCGCCGGTGCCGGGTGGGGGGGGGCATGGCGACTCTGAACTATACGGGTGTGGTGTGATCTGATGTGAAACAGGCGATCTCCAAATAGCGGTTAAAGCGTTGGCGCTTCGTGGCAAACAAATCGAGCGGTGCTTCCACCAGACACCAGCATGGTGACATGGTGACCGATATTAATACCTGTGCCACCTTGGCGAAAAAGCTCCCATCACACAACGGTCTTGTTACGTAGACACAATCTTGGCCGACATTCATGTGCCCCAAACGATATGGGTTCATTTTTCATCTCATTAAGTCTTCCGGAAGATCTTGGCCAAGGTTTACGAGGGCCAACTTCTTGCCCCATGGGCAATCCTTGAGCCAGGCGTTGCTCGACAGGACAGACCGAAAAAAAATTGTCGGGACGTACAAGGCCGTGGAAGCCTGAGTCAACCTTATCGTGCCTAACGTTATGAAAACTGCACGTCTTACCCGCCCTACATTTGGTGTGTCGACGCTACGGGCGCTGGCAGCGGAGAAAACCAAGTACTTCCTATACCGCACGGCTACCTATACCGCACGGCAATCTACAGCAGTTGCCTTCTAGAGCCGACAACACCCGTTCACATATCTCACTCCACTCCGTAGTTGGCGCAATGAGGTCAAGCCTTTGATTCTGCCACCTCCACTATCTGCTCTCGGATGCAGGTGAGGTATATTATTCAGGTAGTTGTGTGTGATTGTGGGATGCATGCTGCATCGCTGGCGGCACGAAGTGTTATTTACTTCCCCTGTTAGGCCGAGTCTTACGGCTTGACTATTTCGGTGATTTTTTTTTTCTCTCGGTGGTGGGGGGGGGTCTGCAAGGGAAAAAATATATGGATCCAAACGACCGGAGATTTTTTTTTTCTCTCGGTGGCGGGGGGGGGGGGGGCTCTGCAAGGGAAAAATTATCTGGACCCAAACGACCTTCTTATATTTTACGGTTCATCGAGGCATATTTTTTTCTCCGGGGAAAATAATGGCTGATTCAAGATTTCACTTCACGGTTTTGGCTTGGGTGCGGCCAACAAGACACCGAGCGCCCTGTTTTTGGGTCGCCTGCTGAGGGCATGTGGATCATCGCACGCCAGTGGCTGTAGTTTGTGGATGTCGTTGGCCAAAGGCCTCTCTCTGGCATGCGTTGTGGACTGATTACGCTCAGAGCAACCAGACAAAAAGGAAATATCCAAAAAAAGTCACCACCGCAACACACTTCCGTCCACGTATACAGGCCGTGTGCAATCAAAACTGGACAATTTGGTCTGTTGATGGGACGCGAGCAGAGCACATGTGTCCGACCACACGCCACTGGCTGCTGTTGGTGGATGTCGTCGGCCAAAGGCCTCTCTCTGGCATGCGTTTTTGACTGATAGCGGAAGCCACACGGAGCAAACACGCGGTGCAACACAAAAAAACAAAAAGTCAACACCGCAACACACTTTGGTTCACGTTTGTAGCCCGTGTGCAATCAAAACTGGACAATACGCTCTGTTTCTGGTACGCGAGCGGAGCTTATGAGTATGACCACACGCCAATGGCTGCAGCTTGTGTATGTCGACGGCCAAAGGCCTCTCTCTGGCGTGCGTCACACATTGCGGTAGGTGGGGACAAAAGAAGATAAAAGGAAGAAAAAAAAACGGCGTGGGTACCCCCTCCTGTGTGACCCCGGACGGTGTGTCTAGCTAGTTTTGAAGTGTATCAAGAACGCTGAGAAGTTTAAGTGCACATACGCGGAAAACGTGTAGTGCGCACCGAAGAGGAGTAAGCAGGCGGGAGGGGGGCGGGGGGGGGGGGGGGGGGGGG